AAGTCCCTTGGGGAAATTAAAGTGGGATCAAAACAGGACATTCATATATTACAGTAATACAGCCACCCAGATCCCAGAGTAATTCCTTCACCCTCCTCTCAGAATCACTTCTCGTGTTCCCATGACAGCTCAGGCAGCAGTGAGTGGAAAATGAAATTGCTTTTCAGTGTGTCTCCAAACTCCCATTATCAGGTAGATTTCCTTTTAAGGGGGATAATCAATGGCTGGATTTCATTAGGAAAGTCTGGCGGGTCAGATGCCGAAAATGTCCGGTTTGCTGTATAGCTCAGATTGTTAATTTACAGGCTGTAGTGATTCATTTAGTGTTACCAGTTAATAGATATACTGTATTAAAGGTGATAACCAGTCTTACAGTACATTAAGTACTTAGTGGTAGAGGACCCCTAACTCCTTGCTGATGATTCAATTCAAGATTCAGAGGCTTTATTTTTCATATGCAGTCTACAGTGTAGATGTGGCAATGAAGTCCAAGGCTCCTCCAACAATGCAACATAGATATAAGACATATTATTTATATTTAAGTCTTTTAAAAGTATGTGTTTTATTTATTAGACCCTCCAGAAAAACGCGATTCTGCGATCGCAGAATTTACCGCATAATCAGCAAAATGGCGCAGATTTCTAAAAGGCCGCATAATCCCCGCATTTTTCCACACAAAATTGAGAAAAAAAAAAGTTAACTCGTCTTGACGTGACGTCATCAGCTCGCGCATCACAGAATGTAAACAACATTGTATAGAGTGAACGTGTGGAGCTCACACGATAGAGAAAACACCAAGATGAAAATATCTAATCCATCTCATTTACCGACGAACATTTCTACTAAAGACCGGGCAAAAAGTGGGGGGAAACTATTCTGTACCCCGTGCAACTGTGTGTTGGAGCATAAGAGAAAATCGACGTGACGACCCACTTTGATTCATTCAAACATTCTAAAATGCTTTCTGCTGCTGCGGACAAGAAAGCCAAACAACTCACGTTCACGAGGCATCAACCTCCAAAACCCTTTCGAGGGCTACAAGAAACGAGGTGAGTAGCCTACAAGATTGAAGCTGCAGATAACGAACGAGTACATGAAAACAGAATGAGGCGGAGAAGTGTGTGTGTGTGTGTGTGGGGGGGGGTGGGGTGTGTGTGTGTTTGAGATTAAAATA